TAACAATCCTTTCATGTTTTACATTTTTGTTGTTTTTGTTTTTGTGTTTTGGTGAGTGTGTTGCTGCTGTTGCAACATTCGTGGGGCAAACAAAACGTTTGTATTTTGTTGCCGGGGAGTCGTTGGGTATGCCGCTGCCGCTGCCGCTGCCGCTGATGGTGTTTGTTGTTTGTTGTTTTTGTTCAAATTAAAAATGATTTAGATGCCAGCAAATTGAGTTCACTTTGGATATAGTTTTGTGTGCGTTGTACTCGTGCTCGTGCCCTGGTTGTGGCCCTGCCAATGCCCCTGCCTCTGCCTCTGCCCCCGCCTCTGCCCACGCCTCTGCCTCTGCCTCTGCTCGGCGTGTAATTTAATTGTTTGATATTTTCCAACACAGCCCACTCTTTGCATGACATGCAAAAACCGAATGTCCTGTCTGTCTGTCTGTCTGTCTGTCTGCCTGCCTGTCTGTCCCTCTGTATCGTTTCATTTCAATCAGGCTTTGGCCATTGTTTGTTGTCAGTGGATGTGAACCCAAAAGGAAAATGCAATTTCATGGCTCTGCAACTGTATTTTTATTCCTTTTCGGAATACTAAGTTTTTGCATATAATAAATGTACATACATTCGTACAATATATGAAACAATATCGCATATTGTTTGCCTTCCAAATGCCAATTCTTGCTGGCATTGCAATTAGACAGAAGCGAAGCATGGGGGCAGGCAGCCAGCATCTAAATTAAGCCCAGAAAAATGCAACAGAATTGCTGAGGGACACACAAAATATGTGCAACATTTCACTCGGCTCGGGCGAAGGAAAGGAAAGGAAAGGCTGGCTTTAAATGATCTCGTAAAAAGAGAGAGACAGGGAGAGGCGTAAAAGGAAATTTACGGAATGTTTGCCTGCCCCTGCCCCTGCTCTTGCCCCTGCTCCTCTGTCCATCGGAAGAACAGACACAAGACACAAAAAAAAAGAAAAAACTACAACTTAAGCACCCACCCGGAAGTGCCGTTTTGGAATTTGTGCCGCAGGAGAGAGAAAAAGGGTCAGGACACTCCACCCAAACACACACACTCAGACACACCCACACAAAGTGTTCCCGAAATCACTTTCGTTGTGATTTTTGGGTCGGCCCAGGTGCGAAGGGCTCGACAAATAGTGGTTTATTCTCTAAAGGGTTTCAAGTGCGGCCTATCCTGTGGCCATGTGGCATCCTGTGGAAGTGTCTATCGCCAGCGAACGAAATCGATTGCCAGAACAAATAGATACACACATCTCTTTTCTCTTGTCGAGGGGGCACGGGGAGACACACTCACTTGACTGGACACTTTCATTTAAAGCCAACTTTTGGGCCATAAAAAGCTTTCTTCTACTTTCATTTCAGCCCCCTCCCACCCTCCAGGATTGTTCTCATCTTTTTTTATGATTCCGTCTGTCCCTTCCATAAAGATTGCTGCCAAGCAATTGAATCCATTGGCCACGATTCCCTGCCCTACTCTGTCCCGCCTGTCCGCCAGTTTTATAATCAAATACATAACTTTATTTATGCTATATTCCCGTGCCCCCCACCCCCTACCCCATTGGGCCAAGAGGCGCTACAAAAAAAGTTTCCACCAAATTTGCTTACATTGGCGAAAACAATAAAATTCCATTGTCTAGGAGCCAAAGGATCCCAAGGAGAAAAAGGATGCTCCGGGGCTGGCCGGATGCTATTTTGTTAAGTGCGCGAATGTTGGCGCATAAATAAAAATATAATTGAGCCGAAAGCACCCCCCATCCCCCAGCCAGCATCCCCGGCATTCCAGCAGCCCCTTGGCCCGTGGCCCGTGGCCCGTGGCCCCTCCGCCAAAGATCAGATTCCTGGCCACATGGCCTGAGGCATGCCACTGCCGCTGCCACTGCCACTGCCGCTGATGAGGAATGTACAATCCTGCCTCCGCTCGTTCCGCCAATATTGATATTGATTTTTGGTCCAGTTCAAATAAATTAGCTGCCATTAATTGGAAATGCGGGCAGCGGCGGAGACACGACCCACTCAAGCAGCAGTGCACCAATTGGGCAGCCAAGAAGATTCGTTGCCAAGGCTTAATTGATTGGCCTCGGCCTCGGCGCCCCCCCATCCACCCATCCACCCTCCCCCCTCCACCAATCGTTAGTTGTCATTGCATTTAATTGCATTGGCAAAAGAGTTCCACAGCCACCTCCACAGCCACCTCCATCTCCATCTCCACCTCCACAGAGAAGCAGCTATTAAATAGGTAGACACTCCTCGCCTCCATGGGGCACCTTGCAGCCTGCAGCTTGCAGCTTGCACCTGGTACAACTTTTATTCCATCGAGGCAATTGAATGCTCAACTTGTTTTAGTTGTTGTTGTTGTTGTTGTTGTTGTTGCCTCGACTGCTGCCGTTGATGCCTCGGATAATTGAATTAAATTAAAATTGCCTGGAAGCCATGCCCCATACCCCATCCCCCCCCCGTCGACCCCCCCCAGCCAGTCTGCCACCCTGCTGCCCCGCTTCCCTGCTGAGTTGGCATTAATTTTATTTTATAGAAACTTCTGTTTGCGCGCTGGGCCATTTAAAATTTTAATTGAATTTATTGCACAAACTGTTTTGTAGTTTTTGATTTTGTAATTAGTGCACTGTCATGCGATGCTGGAGGTTTTTTGGGGCATAAGTACTGCAAAAATTATACCATGCCGCCCGCTTAAGTATGCTTAACAAATAATTGGATTACATACATGCGTGTACATGTGTGTGTGTGTGTGTGTGGTGCAAACCGAATACACGCGCCATATCCGACACTTGTGGCGCGCATCAGGCATCAGAAGTGGTAAGCATATCGTAGATGTGGCACATAGAGGGTCCTCCATTTCGCAGGGATAATCTCTGAAATGTTGCATAAAAAGAGGCCTTGGCTGGAAGATAAAGCTCAGAGCATTCCGAGACCCGAAACCTTTTCAAAAGCCCAATCAATGCCTCGGACAAAGTGGAGCCTCATTAGAGTGGACATTTTTGCAGGAACAACAAAGGTAACGAGTGCAAACACACAGCCCCGCACCGGGCAGTGGCATCAATCACTTTGCCACACACAAAAATGTCATTGCATACAAATCGCAATTAATTTGGACCCAGAGCCAGAGCCAGCCCCCAGACCGAGGCAGCACCCAACTCTGGTGCACCGCCAACCGATTGTCGTGTTTGTCTTTCTCCTGTTGCAGCTGCCACTGCAGCAGAAGTAAAGGCAGAAGCAGAAGTCTCCTGCTCTCCCTCTCCCTCTCCCTCTCTCTCTCTCTCCTGATGCCACTCGGTATCCATGGCATGGGCATGGGCATGGGCATGGCTTTCCCATCGGCAAAGTTGTCTGCCGTGTTTGCTTGCATGTCAAATTCTCATTTCATTGAAATCGACAAATATTGACTAAGAACTTCGATGCAATCAACGCTGCTGCTGCTGCTGCCTGCTGCTGCTGCCAGCGACTTTTCCCAACGACAACTACGACAAATGGGCGTGGCCTCTCGACATATCTGACGGACGGATGGACGGGTGGACGGGTGGACGGGCAGTAGTAGAAAGTAACAGATGAAAGCCGTCTATCAGTCAGTCATTCAGATATTGGCATGGCAATGAAAGTGAAACTCAATCGAGAGAAAGAGTTTCAGTTCCACTTCCAGGAATCAAGAGAAGTCTGGTCTGGTCTGGTCTGGTCAGGTCAGGTCAGGGAAAGTGAAAGTGAAAGCCAGGAGCATTTAAGCGGAAAAGCGAGACTCAAAGCTGGATCTTATCTGCCAGGACAACGAAGGACGACAGGCAGGGCAGGGCAGGGCAGGGCAGGGAAGGCACTTAGTTATTAAAACATTGGCCCACAAATTGCTACGCAACTTTTTGCTCAATAAACTAAACTGCAAAACGGTCCATGGCACTTAGCCCGATGCGAGGAGGGTGGGGGGGGTGGAGGGCGGTATAAGACAGGACACACAGAGAGCACAGGACTCTGAGGACCTGCTGCTTAGACACATCCTTTGAAGCCATGCCCCGGCAGCCTGCCCGCCCCCCAAAAACACCTGGGGAACGGAGTCAAAAAACAATTTTCGCTCATTATCATTTCAACATATTGTATGCCCAAGTGTTTCAAATTGTTCCAAGAGCGAAAGGCAGCGGCAGCAATGGAGCAAGGACGAGAAGGAGGACGAGGTGGCATCCTGATGAAGAAGTTTTCCCTTTACATTGTTCTTGTTGTCTGTCGGAAAGGTGGTGTGGCAGGTTGGCAAACGGCAAAACGGCACAACGGCACAACGGAAAACGGAAGGTTGTTGTAGGTGCTGCCTGAAATCACTATGCTCATAAATGTGCCATGAATAAATTAACTCGCTGAAGAGCGCCAGAACCCCAAAGCCGAAGCCGAAGTGGAAGTGGAAGCCGAAGTCGAAGCCGCAGCCGCAGCCGAAAGCCAGAAACAAAGCCCCAGCCACCGCCGCAGAGCGAGACAACGATACAGGGTTTAGAGGGACGGAGAGAGACAGAGAGAGAGGATGGGGTTGGGAGGGCATTCTGCCTTAGATTTCAAGCGAATGATAATAATAATTGAGGCGCTCTGCGGCCCAAGTACATTGCTTAGATAATAACAGTGTACGAGTGCGTGTGCGTGTGTCTGTGTGTGTGTGTGTGTGTGTGTGCACTGAGAGAAAACTATTATATTCCGGGATCTACGGCTCGTAAAGAATATCTGTCCATCTGCCTTGGCCCTGGATCTCGCCGAGAGCAGCCATCAAATGTGTTATTCCGACTTCTCCAAGATGTCCTTGAGGATAAGGCCTGATTTAAAACGTTTCTCACATGCTCTCCGACAATAAAGGACACTACTCAAAAGATGATTATCCCAGCTATCTGGAAGAAAACTTCAATCGTATCTGGCGTTTCGGATACGATTTTGTAGTCCCCCAGAGGGCATTGAGTTTTCCATTGATTTCCCTTTCATAACAACCGTTTTGTTGCTCATAACAACATCATTATTTCGAGAAACAAACAACAACCAGTCGGATCGATTGCCTCTGTCGCTGCAGTCCTGTGAGAGTCCGCCATGTCCTCGATACCGAATCGCGCCACCATCAGGCAGGCCTCGGTGGCCGCCCGACAGCGCCAGAGCCGCAGCCACCGCTTGACGCGCCACACATGCTTCACGATGAAGCGGGCCGCCATCTTCCAGGTGCGCAAGTCGCTGGTGGAGTACGTGGACGTGGAGCTGGCCGACATGGAGACGTCGGTGTTCTACCAGCGCATCTTCATCCTGGCCAAGAACGGGTGCCTGGAGCCCGAGGTGGAGGCGTTGACCGAGGTGGAGGAGCCGCCCACCAGTGCCGCGGAGGCGGAGAAGAAGGAGCCCGAGCTGATGGCCGCCGAGGAGGAGGCGCCAGTGCCCCTGGACGAGACCACGCAGGGCTCCACCACGGAGATGTCGCTGGCCAAGGCGGAGGGCACCGAGGAAGCGACCGCAGATGCTCCAGGCGAGGGGCCTGCCACACCGCAGTCCGCACAAGATCCTACACAGCGCGTGAACGCGGAGCCCGACGCTCAGGCGGAGGTAGTGACCCGGACCTTTCGCTTCAGCGATGAGTTCGTCCAGCCCTCGGACGCGGCGCTTGAAGACGAGGGGGAGGAGGAGGAGGAGGCAGAGCCAGAGCCCGAGGCGGAGTCGGAGCCGGAGCCCCCCAAGGCCAGGGACTACTTCGAGACGTTCTGCGAGAAGTTGCAGCAGCTGCACCACAACTGCCAGGCGGAGGCCTTCACCCCGGATCCCGTCTGCGGGCTCTTCATCTACATGGGCGACTACTCGCTGCTGATGCTGGAGGCCAGCGAGGACATGATGGGCTGCTTCTGCCGCCAGCTGGTGGCCTGCAGCGGCGAGTTCTGGCTGAGCAACCGCGTCTTCCAGACCGAGGATCACATCAAGCACCTGTACACCAAGGAGCTGACCTTCCGCCGCATTCCCGGGGTCTTTCTCAACGAGAAGTTCCCCACCTCGACGCCCACGGATGAGTACCTGATGGGGAAGCAGCACATGATCATCAAGGAGAAGCTCCTCATCATCTGCCGCCTCATAGCCGAGAGTCTGGCGCCCTCCGAGCCCAGTCCGGACCCCGACAAGGAGCAGGACCACCACCAGACCGTCAGTAGAGTCCCCTCCCGCCAACGCTTTCAGGAGCTTGAGGAGGAGCGAGAGCCGGAGAAGGTCCTCAGCACTGCCGCCAGTCGAACCGGGAGCAAGGCCCCTAGTGTGGCGCCCAGCACGACCCCCAGTGCGGTCCCCAGTACGGTCCCCATCATGGTCCCCAGTAGGGCCCCTAGTGTGGCCCCCAGTATCGCTGCCAGCACGGCCGCCAGCGTGGCGGGTTCCCTGAAGGCCAAGTCCTTGGAGCAAGTCGAGTTCCTGTCGGTCGACGTCTACCGCAAGTTTCTGCCGGAGATCCAGCGCATCGAGCTGGTGCTGGCCTCCACACGCTTCTACTTCACCCTGGCCGAGTTCCTCGACCTCTACGGCACTGCCCCGCAGACTCCCGACGAGGACGGCCTCTTCTGGCCCATCCAGAACAACTACACGCCGCCCAACATCTTCCGGCGCACTCCGTTCGACATCAACCTGACATTCGCCGACTACGTGGCGGCCAAGATGAAGACGGATGACGATCATCACCGGGAGTCCCATCTAGACTTCGACGACCTCGAGCAGATACCCGAAACGCAGCAGCGACCACCAGAGGGGGACAGGGAGGCCGGTCCTCCAGCCCAATGAATGGGTTCTCTTTCTCTCTATCTCTTTCTCTCTAACAGTTTTCTTTTCTTTTTGTTGTTGTTGCTGTTGTTGTGTGTTCCAAGTGTTTCTCTCTCTCTCTCTCTCTCTCTCACTCTCTGTCTTTAAACGATTTGTAAAATTAGGATCTGTTTTAGTATTTATCCGGCGAATGACAGTCTATTCCAATCAAAAATTATTGTAAGCCAACAAACAACAATTAAATTCAGTAAATTGCTACCCCCGGCTCACGCGCATTGCCTAAAATATCGCACTACCATATCGCTTCGAGGAAAGATCTGCAGATAATCATCCCCGGCGGATGCTTCCAGACCTCAGAGGAGGATCTGAGTGAAGGGTGGCCATTGCCTGATCTGTTACTCGGATTTTTCGCCCAGTGTGGCAGCCATCAGCATCGTCATCGTCATCGTCATCGTTGTGGGCTGTTATCTCTGGGACTCGCGTGCTCGGTTACAATGTTTTCGGCTCTGTGCACATGACTGCATCCCATTCTGTGGTTTGGGGATGGGGCTGGGAGTCTGTATGGGGACAGGTTGTCTTGTTTTGGCTTGCCACTTGAATGGCTCCGACTTTGTTAACATAAACATAAATTTGTGTGTGTGCTCAGCCGCGGAATACTCGTACGAGTACGAGTACTTGCACTCCCTTCTCCTCCACATGTGTGTGTAAATGGGGGGAATGGCTTTGCGGAGTGTGTGGGGGTTTGGCTTTTAACATAAACCGCATCAGACGCCAGCTGTCAGCTGTAATACCGTTGGAGCCTCCAGCTGTCAAAAGACGTGGCTGCCATTTAAAGTCATTCGAAAAGAAAAACATGAAAAAAACACGAAAAAAACCACAAAAACCAAGGAGGAGAAAAGCAGAGGCTTAGTTTCGCAGAGGGCTAAAGGATTTGCCAAAAAAGGGTGCCAGAAATCTCTGCTGCCCTGCTCTTGGGCCTCAACAATTAAATTAAATTACTGCAAAAAGAGAAGAGAGCACAACGAGAGGATAGACCGAAAAACATGTTTAGAAATTGAGCTGGAAAAAGTTAATTAAACTTTGTGGCCTGTCCTCGGGCCTCAGGGTTGAGGCTTCAGGCTTTAGGCTTTTGCCTTTGCCTTTGCCTCGGAGGCTGCTTCTGATGTTTTTGGGGCGGACATGCACTGACAAGGACACAATTCAATCAAGCGCCGCACCCGGAGACGGGATAGTGTCAGCGCATAAACAAGGACATTGCACTCCTGGGTGCCACTGCCACTGCCACTGCCACTGCCTGCAGGTCCTCGGTCCTCTATGCCACTATGGCTGATGCCCCTAAAAACGAGAGGCAAAAACCCAAAAACATTTTCCGCTGCAGTTTTCATAAACTGCCAGACAACGGCGGGCAAGGCCAGCCAGAGACAGGCGAGACAATGACGATAAGCCGCTGCTGCAGTGCAGCTTCCCTCCCTTCGGCACTCCCCACTCCCCGCCACTCCCCGCCACTCCCCTCCACTCTCCACTTTCCCTGGTGTGGACACGAATGCGGCGGCCCTGGACTCGTAGTACAAGAATGTTGTTTCGGTTACCGTGTGGTGGCCCCACAACTTGAGGCGCAAACTCATAAATTACACGACAGTGACCCCCCTACCCCCACCCCCCCTCCGCACCACACTCCTCCCAAAAAAAAGGGTCTAAAAAGTGTCTAAAATGACTTTTGGCTGCTGGTGTACTCGCATGTAGTCGTACTTCTGGTGCTTCCACTGCCACTCTGTTGCGGCTTCCTCCATCAAAAGTGAAACTGTTTGCTGCAGTCGCTTTGGGGGCGCTTGGGGCACTTGGGCGTGGCCGCAGCCTCAAAGCCTTTGGTCTGGGGCGCCCAAGACCAAGGATAATTTGAGCCAAACTCAATTTGCTCAAATACCCTTAGAAAAAGAGCGAAGAAAATTGTGGAATCGACACCTTGCAGACCTGTTCTTTAGAGGCTGCTCGAAAGAAGTGGAGAGAAAGTTTCCAGCATCAGCAGAGCCTTCGTCTGTGGGGGAAACCCAGCCCAGAGGCAGGGCAGGTCCTTCCCTATACGGGTAGGCACATCATCGGATCATAATCGATTCAATGAACCCTTCACAGAAAAGCTGCACGGCTTAAAAACCTACAAAATGTTAATCGAAAATACTTTCTAATGAAGTTTGACGTTAGGGCATTGAAAACTTCGACCATCCGCTGCAGCCTGTTTGTTTGCAATGTTTTCAAACAGATAAAGAGAGAGAGAGGGGGAGAGAGAGAGGGAGAGAGAGGGAGAGAGAGGGAGAGAGGGAGAGAAGTGAGAAAAGAGTGAGCAAACAAGAGCAACTAGCAACTAAAATATATATTATGTGCAATGTAGACAAAAACGAAAACAATTTTGCGGCGCGATAAACGAATTTCCAGACTTTTGTTTCTGCCCCGCCCCCCCCACCCCCCGAAAAGTGCAGCAGCAGTGCAGGAGCTTAGTGGAATGGATTTTTTGTTGGCAGCAAGAAGGCAAGTCAAGGATAACATGGCTACATTCTCCAGATTTGCAGGCAAACAGCAGAGAGGCTGTCCCGGCCCCAGATCCGGGTCTGGCGTGGCATGGCATGGCGTGGCGTGGCATGGCGTGGCATGGCATGGCATCGCATGGCCTAAAGCGGAATTGTAGCCAAGACAGGGCAGAGGAGGGGGGCGGGGAGTGCTTCTGACACGAGTTTAGATTGCATTGCCCCCCCTCGACAACGTTTGCGAACATTTCAAAAGCCTCCTCCGATGGAGCAGCAGGCAGCACCCGAATCCAACCGAAACGAGTTGAGAATGGCAGAGAACTCTCTCTCTCTCTCTCGTGAGAGAGCTGGGGTACGGTTGGATAAGATCTGCCAGGAGTGGAGCTGCAATTAGTCAAATGAGCAGTGGATGAACCTCATATTTCACAGGGGGGATAAGACATCTTCTGGCATGTACAAATATAGGAGTACGTATAACCCACGTACCGAGAGATGTAGGACCCCCAAGGCGCCACCAGCAGGCAGCAAAAACTTTGCCAAAATATATATATCGACTGGACCCAGAGAAATCGCGTGGGCCTCTGCTTTGCCGCGTTCATGCGGCCCACATTCATCATACGCCTAGTGCGCCGAAAGAGCTCTTTAAATCAAATTAAATGCTCCCAAGTTTATTTCCCAAAACAATTTCCCTTTGCCATGTGGCCATGTGGCCGTGTGGGCATGCGGCCATGCGGCTTTGCCTTTGCTAGTGCCTTTTGCCAATCTGTGTGACATGGCAGCAGCGGAAAAAACTTTGGCCATAAAAATGCTCGAAATGTCCTTAAGCCGCAGGGCGCGTCTATAAATCCAGTGGAAAAATATGAAAGAAATTAAAAATAATATGGCACATAAAACCGCAAGCAGCGCACAAGGGCGGTGGGTGGTGCGGCGGCGGCGGGCGGTAGTGGGAAATTAAGCGTGAAAAAAATCAGTGAAAATGCCTGGAAAATAGAGCGAAACATATCCTCAACGACTGACGACTGACGACTGAAGGACTGAAGGACTGGCTACTGGCTGGCAGGCTCTGTCTGGCCTTGGCTGTGCAGACCGGATTCTGCTCCGCCCACCCGCATCCTGGACAGAGAGGATTTTCCATTTCCATTTCCATTCTGAGGGGGTTTTAATTCGGCCATTAAGGGTATCTCCGTTGCCTATCCCCTGCGTGTGTTACATACATACATATGCAGAATTCGTGTCTATGTGTGCGTGTGTGTGTGTCCTTCCATTCCCCTTCCCCTCTCCCCCTCTCCCACTGTATTTGTGTGATTCCCTCTTTTGTTTATCTGGAATTTGTCTGTCGCCATTTTATTTTTTACACTTTTTTCCACCCTCCCCCACCCCTCTCCATATTTATTATCATGTCGGTTTTGGTTCTCGTTTCCGTTTCCGCTTCCGCTGTCGCTTTCCTGCTCTAATGAAATCCTCTCCTCCGAGTGTCCCTTTCTTCTTTTTTTTTGCCTTTTCGGAATGGAAAATGTTTATTATGTGATTATGCTCGAGTTTAGCGCCCGTAGCACCCGACTCTGGCTCTGGCGCTGGCTCTGACTCCAACTCTGGTCTTATAACAGAAATTCCTGCCATTTCCACATCCATTTCCCGCTCCGAATGCTCCTCCACTCTCGACTGTTGACCGGCGGCGGCGGCAGGGCGTACTGGATTTTGGCCTTTTGCCTGAATTTGTTTGTTTGTTGTTTTTTTCCCGTTCTTTAAAGCTTCGTCATCCCCATCTGTAGGTCTGTCGCTGACTGGGAGGAAACAGTGCGTGGGCCAAGGGGATGTTGTCGTTTCAAATTACATTGTTACAAGTGTTTTGCTGTCCCCGGACTGGGCAGTCCCTGAATCCAGTATCCTGTCATCTTTTTTAAAGCCGTTCTCCACTGCAGCGAGGATGATTTATAAGTGGGCGAGCGAACAGCTTAAGCCGCCCGCTGTCTTGTTAATCCCAATGCTAAAGTTCATTGAGGCAGATATCAGGTTCGAGGCTCCGCGGTTCGAGGCTCTGAGGTTCGAGGTTCCGAGGCTCCGAGGTCCCTGGTACTATAATTGGATGGACTTTCCGAGAACACTATCATCTCATGTCTCTGGGCAGGGGGCGGGGGGCGGGGGGCAGCGGGGGGGACTGGGCCAGCCACTCATTAGGTCTGGGAGGAAGGGCTTGCCTCGTCCTGATGCGTTTCCAGCTTACAGTTATGTAAACTCCGAGCAGTGCAAAGTTCATTGGTTCTCAAGAACTTTCATAAATATTTTTAGCACTGTCAAAAACACTTCAAGTGCGGGATTTAATTACGACTTTTACTAGGATAGGGGCGGCCACGGAGAGGGACGAAAGTAGAGGAAGTAGAGGGAAGTAGAGAGCGTAGGCTGGAGGAAGCTTCTTCTAGGCAAACACATCATAGTGGCACATTTGGCAAAGTAAACATCAAAAGGAAAATCATTAAAAAGCATTTCCAAGTCAGGCACACAGCAGGGGGATGCTTGGATGCTCGACTGCTTGGATGCTCGA